CTAATTTAAGAAACATCTTGCCAGTATTAAAGGGGATGTTGCCCCTTGTAAAAATGTTCCTAAAGCAATCAGAGAGGAGATTAAGCAATATATGAGTTTTGCAAAACAAAATCCTTGTCATTTGAATAGATCTATTTTTGGTTCTTCTAGAAGAACTGATACGGGGTGGAAGTATGGTCATAACCCAAAACCAAACCATAAAAATTGCATAAGGTGTAATTTTTGTGAAAAAGATACCAATGGGGGTATTAACCGATTCAAGAAACATCTTGCCAATATTAAAGGGAATGTTGCTTCTTGTAAGAAGGTTCCTGAAGCTATTCAGGATGAGATTTAACAATTTTTGAATTTAGAAGAACCAGAAAAGGATGAAAATGAGCCCTGTTCTACGGAAATATTTTCTCCAGATTCTTCTAGAAGTGGTGATCCAGGTTGGAAGTATGGTTATAACCCGAATCCGAATGACAAAAATCGTATTAGATGTAATTATTGGGGAAAGGGTACTAATGGGGGAATTTACTGGCTCAAAAAACACCTTGCCGGTAATAAAGGGGATGTTGTCCCGTGTAAAAATGTTCTTGAGGCTACCTGGGAGGAGATTATACAATATTTGAGTTCAGGGAAGCGTAAAAAGATAGAAAAGGGTAGAGCAGCCAAGACTCTTAAGGCCTCATCTGCACATAGTTAGAGGGAGGTAGAAGAAGAGGAGGAAGATGCAGATTCAGAAGAATCAGAGGAAGACGAGCGTTACATTGAAGAAAGAGATGACTATGATTATGATGGCCTCGAATATGATGCATATGATGAGGCTTACCCTATTCCTTCTAATGATGATGATGACTGAAGAATGAAGAGTTGAAGATGCTTGAGCGCTTGACTGTTGGTGTTGAGTGTTGACTATTGACTGTTGAGTGTTGACTATTGTGTCCTAGGATGTATATTTTCTGAATTTCTGTATATGTTCTTCTTTTTTATTTTTAGTTTCTACTTTCTAGTTTGTACTAACTTTTGCGTGTATTAGACTATCAATGTATGCATGTATGGTTTTACTGTTTTTGCATTGTACGAAAATATGGATTGTGGCCATTTCTTCTCGACTTTTATCTTCTTCCTTTTTTTTTTTTCAACTGGGCCAGCCAAGTTCTGGGCGCCCACCTTGGCGGCCGCCAAGGCGTTGGGCGGCCTGGACCCCCACGGCCGCCTAGGTGCCACCTAGTGCTTTTTGAAACATTGTAAAGAGACAGAGAGAAAGCAAGAGAAGTGAGAGAGAGCGAGAGACGTGAGAGAGAGAGAGAGACAGGGAAGAGAAAGGAGTGTGGTGTATTAGTCTAAAAGAACCAACACAGACCACGTAGTTATATTAATATGTTGACCTAATTATAATATTGCCCTTTCTTAATGAAATAGGACATATAAGTCCTAAACAGAACAAAAGATATTTATACCCATCAAACACAATAATATTTGATTATTTCCAACACTTTCTAGAACACTCTTCAAATGGTTGTTTGGTTGAAGAGGATGTATAAGGAGGTTGAAGCAAAGAAGGGCACTACACCCTCGGGTGGGGACTAGGCACTATGTCAAGATGGTTTTCTAGTAGCTTCTTCAAAGACGCATATGCCATGCGTTTCACAATAGCAACAGGTTGAGCATGTGGCTTAATGCAGCATTTATTACCCTCAACCCTTTGAACAAAGGAACTAAGGATGTGAAGGACTTCAAACCGTGTAGATGTATGATTGCCTAGCAAAGGCCCTACCGATGACTACATGATATTCCCCAAAGCGCATAGGAATAAATCCTTGGTGGCACTCTTGTTGCTGAAGACTCCTCTGATTGCAGGCATAACGAGGGAAGGTTTTAAGCACTTTAATGCTCATAATTGACTGGGAGATGGCTTTGCATTATTCACATTGCGTATGCTTCTCCCAATTTTTTTGCTAGGTCGTATCAGACTTGTGGCCTAGTCGAGCATGTGCTTGAGAGCTCCCCTAGCATTGAGACATGTTATATGATGGCTCTTTAGGGGCTTAGAGGCTTTAACTTTCAAAAAAGAAAAGGGTTAAGAAGCTTTACATGTTAGGGAGCTCTCCTTAGACACGGATAACTCCTTAGTGGCACTCTTGTTACACAATACTCCTTTGACTCCAAGCATAAAGAAAGCACTTTAACACTCGTTGATGACTTGGAGGAGGCTATACCTTCATGTTGAGTATGACTCTCTGGATTTCATCACTTGTGTAGCAACATACAAGTACAGTCCAGCCTAAATATATTGTAGCATGGAGTATATTGCTCACATAGGGTTGGGGTTGGGGTTGTGGTTTTAATAATATGTTTTTATCTTGTTTGGGAACCTAGATTTTTAAAACGAATTTAAATGTGTAAAAACCCCCAAGGGTATTTCTATAATTTTTTATAATTGGGATATTTATGGAATTTCGGATTTTACATTTTAAATTGTGTGGCAGCCACGTGGGGAGGCTACGGATCCAGCCCCACACGTGTGGGACCCACGTGGGAGGCTACAAATCCAGTTCCACACGTGTGGGACCCACATGGCCTTCACATGGGACCCACTATGGATCACACGTCCCACTCAAAGGGCTGCCCACTTTATGTGCCACATGTTTTCAAAATAATAATAATAATAATGTTTTCAATTATGATAAAAATATTTTCTTAGTAGAAATATTTTGGATAAGATTATCTTATTTATTTTCGTATTTTCAAGAATACTTGACCAAGTATAATTTAATTAGAGGTCCTAATTATCTCTTTGTGAGATAATAGGATTCCTAGATTATCTCGGATTGCTCTAAGAAAAGTTTTGACTAGTCAAAGTTCTAGATGGATAAAAATAGATCTGGATCAAATCTCAAGGAATAAGGTTTCTACATATTCACTCTAGATCCTAATGGCTAATCTTGGAGACGAATGGCTCAGATTAATTTTCTCTCTAACCTGACAGATCACCTAAATAATCCTAGATCAAGTTGAACTCTTAATTTGACAAGGACACCCTAAGCGCTAGTGGTCTATAAATAGGGGGTTCTCCCCCTCATTCTACACACATCTCTCTTCTCCCTCTCTCTCCTTCACACGCCCTCTCTAAACATCTCTCTCATCTATCTCTATATAGCTCTCTCTAGTTCTCTGTCTCTAAGGGGACCACGCCACCTCCATAAGTGTCTAGGGTAGCACACCCAAAATCTAGAAGTGAGAAAGAGACGGCCACGTCCAGCCCTAGGCTTAGGATTGGAGTCTTTATGGCCTGCCCTAGTTTATAGGGTCTTCTTACTGAAACCCTAGTTGTTTTCTAGCCCCAAATAATACAACAAGGGTGTCTTAGATGTGCTTCCAAAATTCAGATTTGAGAGTTCAGCAGGATCCAGAATTCAGGTGCACCATTAGTCAGGTGATCGGGTGGGGAGTGTGCCATGCCCTAGTGGGGTAAACCTAAGCAAAGGCCAGTAAGTCGTTCCTCATTTATTTAATTTTATTTGCTGCTGTATTTGTTTTATTTTGCTTCCTAAAGTCCAAGTATTGTGTTCAGTTTAAATAAAAGATTATTTGGCAATAAGTCGTAAAGATCCTAGATTGTAGTAGGGTTGATTATACTGTATAGGAGAGTGATTTCATGCAACGATTGTATAGTAATATAATGAAACAATCTTCAAAAACCATGTTAGGGCCATTTGTTTGACCCGAATTTTAAAATACGCACTCTTTTCGTTCATATGAACAATCACAAAATAAAAATAAAATTTTCAAAACACAACCTAAATAATGTTTTTAGCCCTATTAACATAGGCCATCCATTCTCGTGAGATGCTTAGATCTAGGTCTTAGAAGTATCTTTTTTCTTTCCAAATTTTTTATATAACTTTATTATCATTTGATTAACAACGTTAAAAAAGAAAAAATTGATTTTGAATTCATAAAGGCTTAGGTCTTGAAATTCACCAAATGAACGGTCTTGATTCATTGTTGGAGGGGATTCATTTTGACCATATATAGAATGCAAAATTTATGTTTTTTTTTAGATTGATTATTGAGATGAAGAGACTGTGTGTGCAAAATTTTGGGTCATACAAATACCACAAACATAGTTTTCTAGAAGTGTGGTTTCATTATATTATAATGGCATGGTGACATGATATCATTTCTCTATTGCATATGTGGCATCCGTAAGTAGAAGTTCCAGCAATTAATGAAAGAAAAGAAAAGAAGCGTTTTAAATACATAGCCTGGAATTCTACACAGTCACCTTTCACATAGCAATACATAGCATGGTCCATATTAAATATAATATAACATAGAGTATAATGTTTAAGTAGCAATACACAAGCACAGTCCATACGAAATTTGATGTATCATGTAGTGTTCTAGAGTCCATTGAGATGAAAACTGGGTATTCCCTCTGGTGCACTCCATTTCAATTTATTTCGTCATTTCCATTTACCGCTAAAATTTAAATATAAATCAAAAGGAAGAGACAAACAATTAAAATCCAATTCTTATAATGTGCAACAGTTGTATATCCTGAACAGAAAACCAACCCATTTGAAGCTACTTATTTTCACATGTGAACAATAGTGCAAAGCTCTCACTTACCAATAAAAAGAAATCACATAAATCATCAACGAGACAGTAACAATCTTCTCCAAAAAAAAAAAGAAAAAAAAAGAAGAATAAGAAGAAGCAGACAGCTACTACAACTAATGTAACATGTATAATATAACAACAAATTAATAACTCAACGGAAGTAGTATAGTAGAGCAAATACTGACACGGTATCAGGACATCATAGCATTGTTGTAGTAGACACACATCAAAAAGAAACATAAAACCATGAACATAACGCAATTACTTTCATGACAATAATAAATGAAAGATTAAGTCCTCGGAGCAATTACAGAAATGCCAAATAAGCATATCAAATTCTCAAGAATGGAAGACCATATATAGAAGACATCACAAAGGTAAATTTCTACCTGTAAGAGAGCTGCAATAGTACCAAATGAATGCCATAGCATAGGGGCCAAATCTTGAAATAATTCTCGTTTCTGCAAAAGAAGAGGAAGTGAATTAAATCTCTTTGGAAAAAAATCTCAGATGTTAAAACCATATATGGGAGAAACAATTATATTAGTTTTCAAAAAAACACAATAATGCCAGAAAGTATATTGCATAGCAAAAGATATGAATGAGATGTTGAAGGCCTTGTGAGGGCAATGATAAGTCACATGTGTATGAGGTCTGAATCAACCACGAAGAGAGGAGCTAGCCAAAGTTATATGTCAAAAGAAACAAATGCCCAGAAGCAGGTGTAATGTAGTAGACTTTAATGCTCTTCATTTTCCTATTGAGAAAAAAAGCGGCAGCACATAGATAACTTCCATGATACTAGTATTGAAATTTGTTGGACAGCACAACCTGGTGAAGGTACCCATTAAGGTGCATTCTTTGCATGCTCCAATAATTAAGATGCCCATCCATGACACTACCAGACGAAGATCCTGATTAAACTAGAGGCTACTTTCTGGGTTGATTGGTGTTGCAGATATCAGGCTCAAACAATTGCCTAATTGTTTCAATACATCTGAATGACTATGGTCCCATCCCCATTTCATTTCTTGAATATGTGGCTGGCGAACCTTGGTTTCTAAAATTAAGTAGCTGGGTGGGAAATCTAAGATAGTGTCAAGGGTGCACTAGCTTCAAAGAAATGAAAAAAGTCCAGCCTTGAAAGAGATGAAGGGTAGAATTGATCAATGGGACATAAAAGGAAGAGGATAATGAGGCCCTAAACAAAAAGATAGGAAAAGAATAACTACTCAAAAGCAGAAAATGCTAAACAAGCAGAATGGGCAAAACTGCATATGAAAGGATGGGCTTCGAACCTAAGTGAAGGCACTTGATAGATAAAGGTATTTCCATGGTTTCCATCACTACATTTAGTTTGTGGAACCCCTGGAGAATTTGAGTAGATATGTTTAGGAAAGGAGATTCTCTCTTTCATATTAGTGACAAAAGCATTAAATATGTTGGTAGATCAAGCTTTGCTAAGACCCTAGGATGTTCTAATCACTGACCTTCAAATTTCAAGATGCAAGTGATGCATCGAAAATCTGTGGGACATCCAGGAAGCAAGAAAAATTTTTAAGGCTTGTGTTGAGATGACAAGAGAAGTGAACATAAAAGAGAAGGGAAAGGATAGGATGGATTGGCAGAGAAGATAGGATTAAGGGTGAAGAGTTTTCCAGATAAAGATATACATATTCCCATTTGCATCAGAAGCATAGCAGGAATATCTGTGTTCCAAGGGTAGAGAGCACGGAGACGAGGTTGGCTCCATGAAAAGGCCAACTTGTTTCCTTTGTTGGCAAATATGGACAGACAAGGCCTATGCAATATAACATTCCAGTTTTCGTAAAATCTTCGTTTCACTTCCCAACTAGAATGGCCGACAGACTTGAGAGGACTTAAAAGGGAATTTCTGTGCCAGTGTGATGGAGTAGGAAAGACATAGTCGGTGCGAATGTGAAGAGAACTGCAAAATAAGATGAGATGGAGGGCTAGGTATCAAACATGTGTCCATTTCTAAAGGTATCCTACATTGGCATCCCTATGTCAAAAAGAGAGCGAGACATCCTTTAGTACAAAGCCACTGCAGGGAAGTACAGTAGCATAAAATTCAGTCAGAATTCTAGGATCTAGGTAGTGATATCAGAGTGGATCAGGAAGGGAGGGGTTTCAAGATGATTACGTTTAGTATTGTCAATTGTGGATAATGTGACAATTCATGTTTGGTGAGATGTATGGTAAGGTGATTTGGTTCTTCAGGGTTATTTTATCACAAATAAAGTCGATCAATAGTGAGCCAAGATTGTTCAAACCTCAGAGGCCATGAGTGTTTGGTTTCTTGCCTTTAAGAGTTTCAAGGGAGCTTGATGATGGAGATCTATGTTTTAGTTCCAGGTGGCCTTGTACATTATCATTCTTCACGAAAGCCTAAAAAGTGCTCCATATCAATGTTATTTAGACCGGACCAGATCAGTTGTTTCAAACCAGGAACACGTGGCTTGTCCAATCTGGTCTGGCCCTTTGGACCAGCTTGTCCATAAAACCAAGCCTGGCGAGACCAAACTAGCAGGTCTCAACAGGGGGCCAAAAAGGTCGCTTTTGACCTTTTGGGTTTTTCCAAACAAAAAAGAAAGAATGGTATCAGAACCCCAGGCCGTTCCTAGGCTCTCTCAGTTTATCTAGTTAGTTTGCTCGTTGAGTCTCTCATATGCGCTCTGCAAAAGCGTAGTGGGAATTTGATGTCGTTTTCTTTAAGGGTGTTCTAAGAGTGTTTAAGTCCAGTTGTGTTAGTCTCTATCAAGAGTGTTGTGTCCTATTCACACCTCCTCACAATCCAAAGTATCACCATGGCTGAGTTCTTCAACAACTTTGTTCCTCTCGAGAAAAAGGGATATAAGGTCAAGCAACAGGTTTATCACTGTTAAAGACCATTTTCACAATGAAATTCCACCAAAGAGTGATACATTGGGAGCACAGAACTATTCTGAAGAAGAACCAGGAAGTGTAAATTTACAATTGGGATTTGTATGCCCAATGACCTTTCAGAGCATAGGATTAAATATATTGTTCTTGATAAATCTTTGAGCCAGTATCCATCATCTGAGTTTAAACATTCATCAAAATGGAAAGCAAATTCATTCCTAATCAATGAAATCATGCAATGGCGACATTTGCTTGGCGATACTAAGAGTGGAAAAGTCTAGAAACTAGCCTATCTTGAAGCCCTTGAAAGAAATGGTTGGTTTTGGGCTCTTTACATATCAGCATATTTAATTCCCTTCCCAGTTGGAAAAATTATACAGAAGATTTTGAATATGTGCATGCACAAGAAAAACGAGCTCTCAAAAAACAAGAAGAACAAAGAGCTAATAAAGAAAAGAAAAACAATGAGTCCTCAAAAAGAGATTTAACATATCTGCCAGGATTAGAGAACTATGCTAAAGAGAAAGAAAAGGAAAAACAGAAAAAGAAGAAGGAAAAAAATATTATTTGGGAAGAACCTCCAGTATTTGATAAATACGAAGATAATAGAGAAACATAGTGGCTGAATTTTATTCCCAATTCTAAACTTGAAAGTGAAGCTGTTAAGTGTCCTACTTCTCAAATTAAAATGATCTGTCGTAGACACTCTTCAGCCTCGGCCACTAAAAATCCAATTCTCAAAAATTCTGAAACCCAAAAAATCCAAATTTCTCCCAAATTCCAAATTCTTTCTCTCAGTTATGTAAAACTCCCTCTCTTCATTCTTTCATTCTGGAACAAAAAGATTTTGTAGACAAACATGATAATATCAAATTTCCAGAAGATCAGAAAACAGATTTGTTTAAAAGCCCTTAATTTGAGTATAAAATATCCAAGTTAGAAATAAGTCCCCACGAAGAGAGTAAGAAGATTATCCAGTCTTTATAATAAATTTTGAAAAACAACAGATTAAAAAGCGGGTTAACAAAAAATATCAATTTCGGCTCATCCTGATTTTAATGTAAACACAAAGTGTTTTGTGTTTTTATTAGAAGTTAGGTATATCCCTAGGGATAAAGCTTTACTGTGTCAATTTAGGGGTTATTAGGTAAATATGGTTTATGTTTAAACTTTCCGCTTTGATGGATGGAAAAATTATACTTATTTTGAATTTCAATTCAATTTTAAAGGATGTATATTTTAATTTTAGTTTTAGGGTTTAATTCTAGGGTCTTTTAGTTTCTAGGAATTCAAGGGACTTTTTAGATAATTTAATTAAAGCTAGGGAGTTTAATTTCAAGTTATACTTAAGGGACTTTTTAGATAATTTAATTAAGGGAGAAGTTTATATAGAGCCGAGGCTCTAAACAATCAAATTTGAGCCTACCTCAAAAATTTCACTAAAAGACGTTGTTTTGATGCCCAAATATCCTCAAATTTATCATCTCGACAAAACCATATTTTTCCACACTATTCGAAGGTAGGCTCTAATTTGATTGTTTAGATCCTAAGCTCTATACAAACCGCATCCTTTAATTAAAGCTAGGGAGTTTAATTTCAAGTTATACTTAAGTTAGGACCTTTTGGTCAAAAGTTAATTGTATAGACAAAATATTGATGGAGGGAAAATTATACTTATTTTTAATTTCAATTCAATTTTAAAGGATGTATATTTGAATTTTAGTTTTAAGGGCTTTTTTTTTTAGTGAAGGTTTTAAGGTTTACTTCTAGGGTTTTTTAATTTCTAGGAATTCTAGGGACGTTTTAGATATTTTAATTAAAACCAGGGAGTTTAGTTTCAAGTTATACTTAGGTTAGGAGCTTTTGGTCAAAAGGTCATTGTATGGACAAAATATTGTCCAAAACAATAATTTTTAATATAAATAAGGGCATAGATCGGCTGGAGAGTCATTCATGTATTCCTCTTTAAGAAAAGAAAGATTTTGTCTTGTAAAAGAAGCTTAAAGCTTGAGGCTGGGAGGAAACCCAAGGGTTCTCCAAAATTGCTTGTGTCAATGTGCTTTCTTGCTGACTTTTTATGATTCATCAACTTCTCCTATATCACTCTTTATTTAAATAATGAATATATCTACAAAGTTTTACTTTGTCTATTTATAGGCTTTTTTAAAAAAGACAGGTTATGCTCTATACATCATAATTTCTCTCTTTGTTTAAATAATGAGTTTATAACAAAATCTTTTCCTATCTGTATCGAATTGTTACCAGGGTCAGCTTATGCTACTATGATGAGCGTAATTTTCATTTAGAAGATAGAGCAATTAAATTTTTAAATATAACTCAAGGAATCCTTTTTCTCAAAAAATCCAAATAATGTATATCATGTATATAAAATAGGAACCTATGTAATTACATATGGTTTACTTAAAATTAAAAACAAAACATTTTCAAAAGGAAAAACTAACTTTAAATTTTTCTCAAAAGATCCTGATAAATCTGATATTAGGTTCTCTACAATTTCTTTAGTTCCTTCAAAACCTTTTATTTCTGGGAAAAGTTT